GATTACCTTGGCTTGCTAGCTTTACCATGCCTTGGCATCCTACCGTTACATAATACAAAAAATAAAAAAGCACTTCAAACATTAGGTAATAACAAATCTACGGTTGCAAAATAGACGTAATATATACCAAATCAATGCATAAAAATGATAAGGGGAGAGAGCATACCTTGCTCGCGAAGATGTATGGATCAAATCCAAGTATCTAAGGTCAAATTCATCAATTCAAGAGATTGAGCGGGTTAGGGAGAGGAAGAAACCGAGAGGGGGAGGAAGAAATGAGAGCGGCCTCAGCAAGGGAAACTTGGCCGTGGGTTTTGAATGCATGCTCGGTGCCAGAATACATAGCGCCGAGGTCAGCGCCAAGATCTGAGGCGACGAGCTCGGCGTCATGTATTCTGGGGCTGAGGTACCGGCCACGTCAACGCCACCTAGGATGCCCTGCTGTGCTCGGCCAGGCACCTTGGAGCCAAGATCTGTGGCGCCGAGACATGTTACCTTGGCGCCATGAGTCCTAGCGCCGACCCCCAGGGTCTAAAGATGAGTTTACGTCTCCCAGGGGGGCAAACGTAAATTTTCTTCAAAAAAGGGCCAAATTGTAAAAAAATTGGGGTGCACAGCATGGCATCCTAGGTGGCGTTAACGTGACCGGTATCTCGGAGCCACAGATCTTGGCTCCGAGCTCGACCTCAGAGCCGTGGATCTCGCTCCGAGCTCGAAACCATGAATCATAGCACCGAGCATGGATTCAAAACCCACGGTTGTAGAGGCTGGCTAGTGGCCCTCTCCCGGATTAGTTTTTTTTTGCTAGACTGATTTACAAATTTACAAATTCTAGAAATGATTTGCACATATGATTTGTATAAATATGCTCTAGTAGTGTAGATCGATTTACACGCGTAGTTTTTAAGTGACGCTAGTAGAAATTGAACTTTCACGCCAGTACAAATCAAAAAGCGCCGTCAGTAAAAATATTTTCTATACTAATGTACTTTTTATAACAAAATGTTTATAAAAATAACAAATATTTTTTTATGAAATTAACTTTTGAGATTACTATATTATTAGTATCATCTTCAAATATCTAAATTAAACACACACAGTGTATTAGGCTCTGGCTCCTAACATGTACATCGCTGTTGTTTACTGTAGGCTAATGTAGCAAAAAGAAAAACGGCTCTAGCTTCTCTAAAAATAAAGTAGAAAATGGAGGAGCCCGAGGATGCGCATATTTGGGGCTTCTTGGGCTTCGTCACAGTACTGCTACAGTACAGTGAAGGAACCCGAGGTAGAAAAAGCGCATGCATACGAACTTAGCCCGCGTGGCCGTGTTATAGAACTGATCCAAAAAGGGGGTGTAAGCCACCTTTTGATGGGTATTCCTGCACCTGTTTTTGGTACGGATACGGTGTGTGCGCTCTGAAAATAATTTTCGAAGCTGATTTTAGTCAAAAGGTTCATTTAGACATATGACGTGGAAAGCGCCATTTCGACACAGGCATATGGTTAATTTCTCCTCGACAAGAAAACCACATGTATCGAGCTAGAGCTACCTTGTCTACCATATACATACCTTTGTTCTTTATCATACCATTTTCTGCTCTGTCATGAGTCCATATCACTTTTCTATTTGTTGCCATTGGAATGCCCATCTTCAGCTTGAATGCACTTCACGTAGCCCACCATCGTTTGTGTTGTGCGCCACCTCCTCGCGCGCCCCCGGCGGTTTTGCCGCCGCGCAGTTCGTCTGCCCACACCGGTACAGTGTGTCTCCGCTGCTGCTGTTGGTGTGCTTTGTTGCCGGTGTCCATACGTGTGTTCGCGCCACCTGCGCCTCTGTGCGATGGTTGCGCTGCCACCTCTATGGGAGCCGTTTTCGTCGGTTGCTCTTCTTCTTCGCCTCTAGTGGCCCTGCGCTAAAGTATTCCCTGGGTTCTCCTTCCTCTCTAAGCATGGTGGGGTACTTAGTTGTTGTTTCTTTTGCACTTGCTGCTCTGTGTGCTTCAAGTGTTCGATGGAATAATCAAAAGGATTATGCTCGCATCCGTCCGGTCATCTAACTATACCTGTGTGTAACTTATGTATATCTTAACGAGTTTACCTTTCCATCTTGAATAGTGTAGACCTATATTTTAATAAAATGACAGTCAATGCTTTTGGTGACGACAATTATATTGTTTTTACAGCTTGCTCTTCAAATTCATCATTTCTTAATGTGTTGTCTAAACATTGTAAATGGTAAGGGATCACATCACGAAGCCGTTGATTTGTTTGTTTCCGTGAGTGTGCAAGGGAGCGGGCAACTGGATCAGTTAGCGCTAGATGATGAGCGGTATCTGCATTCTATGGACCCATAATGGTTCACGCTGTTATCCATTATGGACTATGTGAATCAAACAGCAAGAAGCGCAATTAGATTGCATCATGAACTGGTTACGGCCAAGAACATCAAACCAAGCAACACGTTAATTTTATAAACAATGATTCTTGAGCCGCACGTTGTCTTCACATTGGTGTTACAAGTGCCATCCTTCGACATCAAATTGAACCATTGTGGTTTGGCCGTGGGTTTTAAATCCATGCTCGACGCCAGATCTATGGCTCCGAGCTCGGAGTCATAGATCCACGGTCCGAGGTCGGAGCCACAGATCTTGACGTCGAGCTCGGAGCCAAGATATGTGGCTCCGAGGCACCGGCCACATCAACGCCACCTAGAATGCGCTGCTGTGCACGGCCAGGTATCTCGGAGCCAAGATCTGTGGCGCCGAGACGTGTTATCTTGGAGCCATAAGTCCTAACGCCGACCCCAAAGTTCAAAGATGAGTTTACGTCTTTCAGAGGGCCTAACTTAATTTTTTTCAAAAAAAAAAGTATCAAATTGTAAAAAATTGGGGCGTATCAGCACCAACCCGTTCGCCTGCAGTTTTTCGTGGGCAGCGGCAAGGTGCGATGCTTGCGATGGCCACAGCAGTCTGCCAGCACGATGCATCAGACGGACGAATCTGTCGGCGCAGCTGATCACGAACTCGTTGCCGGCCACTGGTATCTTGACATGTGAAGAAGTGGTATATATGCTTCAGTAAACTCATATACAGCACAAAACACTAATCGAAAACACCCAATAACTTATTGGTTACCAAGTACCAACTGTCTAAGTTTTCTAGCCAAATTGCTCAACATGGTTACACTAAGAGCACAGAAATTGACAAGGAATTCGATACAGCTCTTTTCTAAAAGGAAAAAAAAAAGCAAAAATAATAGGTTATAGGAGTACCTTATTTGCTTCTGCTCCAACTATCTTCTGAACCTCTACTTCTTGGCTGTTTTCAAATTGTTTATCTTTGTGTCGAATAAGGGCCTCTTGGGTACAGCAGCTCTTGTCATGAAGCTGTACCAAATGGACATTAAAAAGTGGCTTCTTTCTAAGGAGCCCGAAAGAGCCAGTGCTGTTTTAAAATTGGCGAGTCAAAGCCGTAAAAACGTTGTTTATCCCGGTTTCTGCTTACAGATCTAAATCAAATTATTACAAAGCCATCATCGGAGCCATTTTCGCCAAACATTTTTCCAAAACAGTTTTAGTTCCACAAGAGGAGCGACATTAAAATGATCCCAGCATAGCTAATATATGAGACCAGATTGTATGGTATAAAATAATACGTGTGATATATATCTACATGAAAAAGGTGGTCAAAGAAGAAAGTGAACATAATACGTGTCAATCATATTCGGCTGATGGTTTTGCGGTTGATAAGCCAGTTGATGCTGTTTTGTTGTGCGAGAAAAACACTATAAGTTCAAGCGAAAGCAAAGAGGAATTTCAAAACAGCATGCATCCCAGCCTCAGCTTGTCAGACAGGAAACTAAAAAAATAGTTTCAGCATAAATTAACTGAGATATATTTGAAACTAATTGATTTCTCTCTTCTCGAGAAACAGCGAGTATATCCCATGAGAGAAGCAGCTACAAGGATATCGTGGAAGCTTATACACACTCATTGACATGGGAGATGAACCAGAACAGGTATTTCTAGATTGGAAGTACTGCGTGCGCATGCAAGATTGCCAAGTGCATCTTTCCAAAATGAAGGGCCCCCAGGGATCCAGTTTTCCAAATGGATGAGATCCGCCTGAGAAAAACTGGCACTCAGACTTCGTTTATGAAGACAATTAATAATACAAGCAAGCAACGCAAGCATCACCAGAAAGATCAAAAGGCTCCAGAGCCATACGCTTACCAGTAGACATGCCAAAAAGAACCATGCAAGCAAACTAGCATAACAAGAGACAGCACCACCATATAAAGATTCGAGTACAACATAGCCTAAACTTCTAGTAGATATATTATCTGCTTACCCATTTTAGTCGCAGGTCCCGGGCCATGTAACATGTTAGGCAGTAACGATGCTAGTCCGAGCTATCTGTAGTCCAGTCGGACAGCCTGAACACTGCTCCAGTTCAAGCCTGAACCCCGTTCGGCTGGTACACATGGATAATGTGTACTAGTTTGTTCCGGCTAATTTTGGCTAATTCAATAGTATTCTGCAAGAGAGAATAAACTGAAACAAGCTAAGACAAGCCGAGCCGAACACGCTAACCACGAGTCCACGACTCTGATTAACGTGTGAACATGCACCACCAAAGCTGTAGCAATTTGCAATTTGTTATATGTTGCCGGCCTCTTATCTCCTTGATAACATGACGTGTGTACATGCGTCACCGAACCTGACCACATCGGTCCTGTTCGCTTGTTTTATAATCCGTACTTTTTAGCTTGTTTTTTTAGCCGGAACAGTATTTTTCTCTCACATCAAATCAGCTGAAACAGTATTTCGGCTTGTTTTTTCAGCGAAGCGAATGGGGCCATCGGTTTCATAGCACGAGGAACAGAGGCTACATATATACCTCAGCTACTATCTCCTCCGGTTCAAACACAAACAGCATACAACCTCTTTCCCAGAACAACTAGTGTATGCTTCTCCACTTCACCATCTCACAGACACAGCCATGGCCTCTGCCACACAAGCACTCGCCCATAACCTGAACGCCTCTGAGAGGACACACTTCGTGCTGGTTCCAATGATGGCACAGGGCCACACCATCCCCATGACTGACATGGCATACCTGCTAGCCAAGCATGGCGCGCAGGTCAGCTTCATCACCACACCACTGAACGCCTCCAGGATCACAGGGTTCATCGATCACGCGGCGGCAGCAGGCCTCGCGATCCAGTTTGTCAAGCTCCACTTCCCCGCCGTTGAGTTTGGCCTGCCTGAAGGATGCGAGAACGCCGACATGATCAAATCCACAGATCTGTTCAAGAACTTCTTGGATGCCTGCGCAGCGCTTCGGGAGCCACTCGTTGCATACCTCAGTCAGCAACGCCAATCTCCAAGCTGCATCATATCAGACATGATGCACTGGTGGACAGGTGACATCGCAAGGGAGTTTGGTATCCCAAGGCTGACGTTTAATGGCTTCTGCGGCTTCGCGTACCTTGCCAGGTATTTTGTGTCAATATATATAAAGCATATTTTATCACTAAAAATGTAATTGGTCCAAAAACTGGAGTAAAAAGTAGCATATGTTCCTTCAGAAAAGAATGGCCATATTTACTTCTGCTTATAACCGTCACACAATGGAGATTTTTTTGATTCTCGACTTAGCTATTTCAAAGTTCTGAAGCAGCAGTAAATATAAGCAGAAATAATCAAAGCATTTGGTGGGACTCTAGCTTTTTTTCACTGAAAATCTGATTATAAATGGAAATAAACAAGGCCAAAGGCAATTATGTATGTCTAAAATAAATTAAAGTATTCATCTGAGCACTACTAAGAAACGTTTTTTATGAGTGTAACGTAAAGGAAAAAAATATTAATCATAGTACTAATTAATCAGCAATAATATTTTAGTTTACACTCCAACCAATAATGGCAGAAATTCAGCAATAACACGCTGACTAAGAACTGGCAGTAACAGGAAACAAGTTTGCAGCATAATGTGATTAAATAAAATATAATTATATTTTGCAGGTACATCATTGTCCGCGACAACTTACTGGAACAAGTTGAAGATGAGAATGAGCTCATTAGTTTCCCAGGATTCCCTACGCTCCTTGAGTTGGCAAAGGCAAAATGCCCTGGAAGTCGATCTGTTCCTGGTCTGGATCAAACCCGTAAGAACATGTATGAGGAAGAGATGAGATCCAGTGGTGTTGTCATAAACAGCTTCCAAGAGCTGGAGGCTTTGTACATCGAGTCCTTTGAGCAGATTACAGGGAAGAAGGTTTGGACAGTGGGACCAATGTGTCTGTGCAACCAGGACAGCAACACAATGGCTGCAAGAGGAAACAAGGCCTCAATGGATGAGGCACAGTGCTTGCAATGGCTTGATTCCATGAATCCAGGCTCGGTGATCTTTGTAAGCTTCGGCAGTATGGTCTGCACTGCACCTCAGCAGCTTGTTGAGCTGGGACTAGGGCTGGAATCAACCAACAAGCCGTTCATCTGGGTGATTAAAGCAGGAGATAAGTTTCCAGAAGTTGAGGAATGGCTCGCGGATGGGTTCGAAGAACGAGTAAAGGACAGAGGCTTGATCATAAGGGGCTGGGCACCACAGGTAATGATCCTGTGGCACAAATCTATTGGAGGTTTCATGACACACTGTGGGTGGAACTCAACATTAGAGGGTATCTGTGCAGGCGTGCCCTTGATCACATGGCCACACTTTGCAGAGCAGTTTGTGAACGAAAGGTTGGTGGTGGATGTGCTGAAAACTGGGGTGGAGGTTGGAGTGAAAGCAGCGATACAATGGTGGGATGAACAACAGGAGGCTACAGTGACAAGGGATGCTGTGGAGACAGCTGTGTCCAAGTTGATGGATGAGGGGGAGGCTGCAGAGGAGATGAGGATGAGAGCAAAAGAATTTGGTGTTAAGGCAAGGAAGGCTTTGGAAGAGGGAGGTTCTTCGTATAATAGTATAGATCTATTGATTCATGAAATGGGAAACCGGACAAACTATAATGCATAATACTCTCAAGAGTTATCTTTGAAATTAACCTGTAACCTGAATCAGGCAGACTATCAAGAGATAAGATCTACTCTAAGTTACCGCACAATCAGTTCCCATGTGTTGCTTAGCTTCATAGCAATCATCAGATTGTGATGATCCGTTCCTCTTCTACAGATGTTAACTTGCTAACCTCTCCTCTCATATGCCTTTGCCCACCAGTTGTGCCATGTCTATATGTTGATCCTTAAACACCATTAAACAGAATGCTATTGTGCTAACAAGACATTTAAGAAAATGTAATACTAAGAATAAATGGGCAGTGATTGTCAATTCCAATTAAAATGCATATGCAAGGTCATAGAACTTAGAAGCTTGTCAGAAATGGAAAATACATCATGTACGACCTATATTTACATCTGTATTACAACATGGTGACTGCAACCTTCAAACAAATATATGTGTTGATAATTGACTACAAGTGCAGAATTCTAATCAATGAGGCATTGAGCTTTCTTCAGGATTTCACCAAACTATAAGGAAAATTAGTTACTTACTAGCTAAGATATGAAATCATTTTGATACTTGGCCTGCATTATAATATCAATAACTTCTCTTAGAAGAATTAAATCAATGTCTTAACTAAAGTGCATGGAAAAAAGAACAAGTATATCACGCATGGCTAAAATAGTCACATCATCCATTCCAAATGTGCAATATCGCTCCTGCTCTCACATTGGTTTCATTTAAAGAACAATAATTGACATACTTCCCAAATCAAAAATTATTCGGCGCCCTCCTTATCCAGTTCGTCCTCCTTGCCAGATGTTCCTCAAACAGAGCCTAATGGCAAACCACGTTCCGATGGTGCAGTAAAAACTTTGTGCTCATATCAAACTGAACTATGAAATTTTGCTGGAATAAATAACTTTATAAATCCATACAGTAGCTGCTGTCTGTACATGAAACGGATAAATTTGAAGTACAATAAAGCATCTTCATACAGAATTACTGGCGCACACTGCTGCAAGATATTCAGATAAAGATTACAGCAAAACCAATAACAACTACAGCAAATATATAAAGGCTTGCTCCTCGCCAAACCACCAAAAACACAAAATATATGTCGATTCATGAACTATATGCAAAAAGTAACATAAGCAAGTTAACATACAACACCAAGTTGGAAACAACCTCAGCCAACTGTCTTGCAGCAATAATAACATTTCACGTATTGTAAGGTCTACTGAACTTTCACCAATATTCATGTGGCACACACACAACACTCAACAGAAAGAAACTCTTTACCATACACAAACACTCTTACTGGAGGTAGCGCATTTGACTTCATTTGGACACGAGCAGTGTGTCAGGCTTCCGCTGCTTGCTTGGTGTATTTGGCTTTGAACTTGGCCTAGAGCTTGATGCATTGCTTCCAGCAGTGCCAACTGCAACAACTGGCCCAGAAGCCGCAGCAGCTGCTACCTTGGCAGCCTTTCGTGCACTCTTGTCAAGCTCAATCAAGCTTCGGGCTGCTAAGATTGCTTGTGCCACAAGGTCGTGGCATGCACGGGCATAGACGACCCTCACTGCTTCTGCAGCGGCATCACGCACCTCAGCTGGGTTCAGTGGCGCAAGCAAGCAGTGCCCAAGAACCATCATCACTGGCTGGAGCAGCTCCCAGGGAAGTGGCACCCTCGCCTCCTTGTCATCTTCGCTGCAATTCCGGCCACTGATGTCTCCATTGATACGCATCCTGGCCAATGCGTCCTCCAGTTCCTTCCCATTCTCAGCCCCTGAGGACATTGGCGAGACAGACCCCAGAGAGTCACCCTCCTCTTCTTCCAGTTCCTTGTCATCAAGCTCAAAACGGCATTTGCAGTACTGCCCCGCCCACGCAGCCGCAGCATTGCAGGCATCCACCTTCGACGCGGCAGGCATCTGCGAAATCTTGGAGTAGTAGGCCTCAAATGCGACTCCAATAATTCCGGCGCGCTTCGTCGATTTCATCGCGGCCTGTGGCTCCAGCGGCGGCGAGAGCACCCCCACCACGGGAGTCGCCTGCGGAGGGGGAATCGGCGGGGGCTGCGACCGGCGAGGGGACTTGGAGCTGGGGCTGGACGCCGGCGTGTGGTATAGGGATGGGACGGAGAGGTCGGGCACCTGGACGAGGATCGGCTTCCCCTGGCGATTCTTGGCCTCGGAGGAGTACACAGCGAGGAGGACGGCCTCGAAGCCGGAGAGCGAGGAGGGGAGCTCGGGTGGGAGGCGGCGGAGGTAGAGCGCCGCCAGCAGGGGCAGGAACGCGAGCGCGGCGAGGCGGAGGTCCGGGTCGGCGGAGAGGAGCGTGTCGTAGAGCCAGTGGCAGGCGGGGTCGTCGGCGCCGCCGCCCGCCCGGAGCGCGTCGGAGAGCGCCGTGTAGGCGGCGAGCGAGCGGAGGAGCGCGCGCGCCGGGCGGTCGGCGTCGGACAGCGCCGCCACGTCGTGGGAGACCGCGGCGGGCAGGATGGAGGAGAGCGCCAGGATGCGGGACCGCGCCTGCGAGACGGACTCCCACCAAGAAGGGGTCGGGTCGGAGGCTGAGGCGGACGCAGAACCGGAAGGCGAGGCGGCGCCCGCGCCGGCGGAGGATGGGGAGGGAGGCATGGCGGCGACGGCGGCGGAGAAGCCGAGATGAGATCTCTCCTCGGCTGCGGAATGAACGTTTTGGTAGTTAGCTGTTTCTCGAGGGGCTCCTTTGTAAACTTGGACTTGGAGGCGAGAAGCCGAGAACTGTACGTGTGTGAGTGGACTTTTGGTGGGTTTTCCTACGGGTAAATACTCTCTCCGTCTAACAAAAATGAATGTTGTTCTGCCCTTTTAAGAGTAAATTTATCTTATTAATTTTAAAAATCTCTGATCAATATATATAATGCGTAATAAATATCATTAGATGGATAACAAAACATATTTTTTATAATGATCTTTTTAGAGATACAAATGTTGATACTATTTCTTATAAACTCAGTTAAATTAAAAAAACGACTTAGTCCAAACCTAAAATGACATTTTCTTTGGAACTGAGGAAGTAGAATTTTTTAGACAAACTGAGGGAGTAGATTAAAAACCACATGTGGCGTTGCCATGAGCCTACCTATGCTGGGAGCTCATAATGTGAGTCCGTATGAAGATGATGAGTGTGTGCCGCCAACACGCGTTGTTGGAGCAAACCAACACGTGCTCTTTGTCACAATTGAAATGGATTGACAATATGTTTTTTTTAGTACGAATGCCCCTATGATGTGAGTCCATATGAAGATGGATGAGTTTGTGTCGCTCAACATGTGCTCCGCTGTTGGAGCAGACCAACACATGATTTTTTTTTTTTAACTCAAACCAAGACATGATCTTTGTCACAGTTGAAATGGAATGACGATATCTTTTTTAGCACGAATGCCAAATTAAGGATTGAAGGTCATGCTTATCTGAAACAAAACCTGAAAGCATAATAGCAGTTTGTTTGATAATAAAGAACGTCTAAGGTTCACTCAGAGTGTGGGGCTAGGCGTTGTGACGAGCATCGACTGTGGGCTGGGATGAGAGGGGCAGGGGCAGGTGTTGTTTGCACCGGTAGCGAAGTGTAGAAGGCGAGGACAGAGCTCACGAAAGGAGCAAACAGTACTCTGTCCGTCTGTCGTGGAGTTGACGGCGTCCATGGCGTGCGGGTGCCAGAACCCCGTGCCGACGACCGAAGCGACAACTTGGCCCGATTCGGTTTGCTTAAACCTGCTGAATTAGCTGAAATATATTATTCTAGTTAAATTGTTGTGAAAAAAAAACATATTATTTCGGTTGAAAAAATAAGCTAAATAGTGAATTATAAGATAAACGAAACGGGGCCTTTGTGTCACAGGGAATTTCAGGTGCATTTAAGATGACATATACGAGTACAAGCTAGGCCACTCCTAATACAGAAACCATCGTGATATAAACATTAATTATATTGTCATATAATCGTTTTGCTGATGTGACAAGGTAGTTATCGAAGAGAGAGAGCAAAAATCATAAACCATGTTTACACGAAATCAAGGCATGAAGGAATGTAATTAGTAGATAATGGAGAAAGAATGTATGTGATTGAATAAAAAATTGTTCGAAGACCATGATTTCTATAGTACTTTCTCTATTCTAAATTATAATTCATTTGATTTTTTTATCTCAAGTTTCACCACTCGTCTTATTAAAAAATTTATACAACCATAGTCAAATTTAACTCATTCGTGAGGAACTTTTGTTAATAAAGTAAGCCACAACAAAAGAAGTGGTATTTTACATAAATTTTTGAATAAGACGAGTGATCAAACTTTAGGTCAAAAAGATTAAATAAACTATAATTTAGAACGGATTTAGTAGTGTCTATGGAAAATTAATAGGTATAGAAACTAGTTTCTAGCATTGGGACTGTTGAGATATTAATGATAGTTTATATCTCTGTTAGTCACCGTGCCAACTAAGCAAAACGCTATCGTGACAGTCGAATTAACGAAGAAAGAGAAGAAATTTTGATGAAACCGTTTCTCAGGCGAGACACTGCGTCTACGCGTGAAACGATCCACGTAGAAACTGCGAAATTAGCGTTGGGAGGAAACGAGCAGCGTCTATGCCGTAGGGCCCGCGATGGGACTGCTGCCGTGATGGGATTTCTCGTCGCCGATGACTCTTCCGCGCTCGTCGCTGCCGTGAAGGAACAAGCAGGACGCCGCTACCGTCGCCCAGGCACCAGGCCGCGCCGCCATCGCGCTTGCTGCCGCGAAGGCTCGCTCGCGCTTGCTGCCGCAAGGGCTCGCTCGCCGGACTCCGCGAGGGCTCGCCCGCGCCGTGCGCTCGCCAGCGAGGGCTCGCCGGCCGCCGCGAGGGCTCGTCCGCACCGCGCGCTCGCCGGCCGCGCGCGCTCGCCGCTGCGATACGCTCAGGACGCGCCGCGATACGCCCAGGCTGTGCTGCGCGTGCTCGCCGGAGGCGCCGCCGCTGCGTGTGCGTGCTCGCTCTGCTGGCCGCGCTGGCCGGCCGCCGCGCGCTCGCTTGCTGGACGCCAGTGCGCTCGCTCACCGCTCCGATACGCCCAGGCCGCGCAGGACGCGCCGCGATACGGCCCAGGTGTACTGCGCGTGCTCGCCAGAGGCGCTGCTGCTGCGCGAGCGTGCCGCGCTGGGACTGTGCGCGTGCGTGCTCGCTCTGCTGGCTCGCCGGAGAGAAGTAGAGAACGAGATGAGAGAGGAAGGGATAAGTGTGAGAGAAAAAAAGTCATATTTATTATTACGCGAAGAGTATATCACTTGTGAGTTAGTTTCTATAGATGTTTTTTACTTATCGGACATTGTGCATAGTTTTATCATTGGGACTACCTAATACATTGCATGTCATGTCCCCAAAATCATGATACTATAAAAAAAAAAACATACCCAGTGTAGAGAGCTCCTGCTCTTTACGGGGTCTGGGGAATGATGTCAGTGGCAAACCTAAACCCCGGACCTTCCGGTCACAAGCGGTAAGATTCTACCACTTACACCAGGCCCGCCCTTCATACTATTACAAAAATCTATAACATAAAAAAGAGATCCTAACAGATGACGTTGTCATCACCCTAGATTAAATAGGGAATAAGACTTCATATACAAAGGACTCATTTCTTAGCACACACCTCTTAAGTTGTAAGATTCTGTGCTGAGAATACTGTTACCACAAGCATTTGGATAGTATTAACGCCATGTTCGCTTGTCTTATAATCCGTACTTTTCAGCTTGTTTTTTCAGCCGAAACAGTGTTTTTCTCTCACAACAAACCAGCCGGAACAGTATTTCGGCTTATTTTTTCAGCGAAGCGAACGGGGCCTAAAAAGTCGATGTCCACAGCATTTTGTGGATCCAAACCTAATTGTAAAAATGATTGTCAACATTCCCTACATACTATAACCTTTTTTATGCTCAAGTTCCTCTTGTGAAATCTGTATTCAGCCCAAGAGATACTGACGGTCGCCATTCCCTACACTGTAGCAGTACTGTAGCGCAGAGCCGGAGAAGCTCGAAATCGTGGCTCCACCGGCTCCTCCTCTTCTCAGTCCAAAACGGCTCAGTGCTACAGTGATTTCACGGAGGAGCCGGAGCCCTCAGGAGCTATGCCAAACACAGCCTATATATTCTCACCAACTTTGTGCATCACAAAAGAAGGCATATAATTGTATCCTTTTACCAGCAAACAAGCAGCCTGCATCTTGTAACCATCTTACACTTTCTCAATTAGATCAGATTATAATCTAGTATAACGAGAGGCATAGTTAACAAAATATGACTTACGAGTTCATTGATCAGTCATGTTTCATTCATTCTTTAATTGGTACCTTCTGAAGTACCCATTTATCCTGCTCACATCCTAGTCTTGCCATATGTTGGCAAAATGTGTTTATTCACCCTGGAAATAGGTAAATAGATTTCTTTTCCTTATTGTTTAACGGTCTGTTCGTTTCGTTTAAACTGTATTGTTCTAATCCACGATCATCGATACGCGTACGCAAGGTTTCTATGGTTCAGCATCGGCCCAAGAATGTTGATCGGTGATCAGGGAAATGTACTGGTCGAGACTGTTGTCGAATAAATAAAGGTAAATGTGCCGGTGGCAGGTGGCACCCACCATCAAATAGCATGACCTGGCAGCACACAACGAGTTCAACATATTTTCGAGAAATTATTGGTACTGAAGATCATTGCAGTCACTCTATTATTGAGTTTATTTTTTCAAAACTTTTGTTTGGCACAAATTCGGTGGTCAAGATCAGCATCATAAAATCAACTAAATGGAGTGGAGCTCACCACAGATGAGATGCAGAAGGGGAGAAAAATGACATAAAATAGATGAACAACAGCAGTATGATAGCATAAAATAGATGTCCAGATATGCCAATTGTCAAATAAGAGATCAAAAGAGATGGATGCTTTTATTTCAAAAAAAAATGATTCTTTATTTCAAAAAAGAGATGGATGCTCTAAAGGAAGGGGAAAAAGAGAGGGAAATTTAGCATATACACCGCTGAAAAGAATATTGCTTCAAGACATGATCAATCAACCAAATGCAGCTGTGCCAAAAAAAAATATTGCTTCACACCAGAGCCAAACAATTGTACAGCAAGTATTTCTCCATCAGAAAATTCTGCAAAGACAAATCCAAGAGTTAGATATTGAGACACTTAAAATACCTTTTTAACTCTACCACTATTGCACATTTCAACATCCAAGAGTCTGAATCTGAATCTTCTCAAAAGAATATTCTAATAAACAAAGATAGAACATATTTCTTATGACATGTAGCAGAACATGTAATAAAATACCTTTCTCCGAATAAATGCTGAGCAGAACCATCAGATATGTCAAGGTTTACATCAAGGTGCAAGAACATTAGCTCAAACAGAACATAGGGTGAAGGGTTTACTGGATCAACTATACTATCATGCTTCTATTCACTTCCTGAACTGCAGTCAATACTCAACACTACATTTCTAGCGAGAACTCATGCTCGCCTATCAGGTGATCACTCAAAGCTCAAAGCTGAGGCTACAGATTTCAGCTGCCTTATGTGGCTGATGCATAAGGAGTTACCAATAGTCTTTACAAGAACAGAATCCATGTCTAAAATGATGGAAGCGTGTTCTGTCCCTCACAACAACCTCCCTTCCATACAACCATGAAATCAATTTAATTGCGTTATGGCAGTCCAAACACATCCTCAAGTTTTTCACAATTCTTATCACAGTATTAGGTTTTGAACTGAGTAATGCAAAAGCAATTGCCAGCTTCTCGCTGTGCCAGTAAAGAACTTTCTGCTTTTCTTCTTCTGCGACTTCAACAAAGACCCCAGTTACGTCAGGAAAATACCCAGCATTATTTAAATCACTGATTATGCTCTCCAACTTAGAGTAGATTTCTTTGCTCATAGGATGAGACTGATCACCAGCTAAAAATTCATGAATAATACCGTTCATTTCGATCAGACTGAAACCAGGTTCTTTCTTTATTCCTTTCTCCATTATTGCCTGCCGAAGCCGCCGAACATCTTCCCATCTATTACACTTTGCATACATGTTTGACAGAAGGGTGTACACCATGCTGTTCTCTGGATCCAGCTCAAGGAGGCGGTCTGCTACCAGTTCACCTATCTCTGAATTGCCATGAACCCTACAAGCTGCCAGTAGGGTCCCCCAAATAGTGGAGTTGGGTTTCATTGGCATTTGATCTATTGTCTCCAAAGCTTCTGTAAATTTCCCGGCTCTGCCAAGGAGATCAATTATGCATCCATAATGCACCACATTTGGGGCAATATTATAGGTCTCTATCATGCTGAGGAAGAACTCCCATCCTTGGTCAACCAAGCCAGCGTGGGTGCAGGCTGTGAAAACACCAATGAATGTCACCTCATCTGGAGTTTCTGAAACCCTGATCATTCTGTAGAACATTTGAATAGCCTCTTCCCCGTAACCATTCACCGCGAGACCAAGTATGATAGCTGTCCAAGTAAACTTATCTCTGTGGTGCATGCCTTTAAAAACATCCAATCCACGCTCAATGCTTCCGCACTTGGAATACATGTCTATAAGCGCATTACCGACGAAAGCATCCATCTTAATCCCTTGCCTGCTCATGTAAACCCTCACCCATTCTCCCATCTCCAGAGCACCTAGCTGCGCACAGGCTGTGATCACGCTCACCATGGTGAACTCGTCTGCACTCACATTACTATACTGCATCTCACGGAACATCTCCAATACCTCCCTGAACCGGGCAGCCCGCACATACCCATCAATCATCGCGGTCCACAAGACCGTATCTCTCTCAGGCATACGATCAAACAGGTCTCTCGCTTCATCAACCTGGCCTAACCTCGCGAGCCCAGAAAGCAAAGACGTCCATGACACCACGCTCCTCACCTGCATGCTGTCGAACACCTTCCAAGCCGAGTCCATGTCAGCACACTCCGCGTACATATCGACCAGCGCGTTCTCCACCCTGAGGTCCGGCAGCACCCCGCTCCCCACGACACGCCCGTGCACCTGCATCCCGAGCAGCACGTCTCTCGTCCCCTTCCCGCAGGCAGACAGCACCGAGACGTAGGTGACCGGCGTGGGGGGCCATGTCCACGAACGAGCAGCACGACTCCCCGAACCGCCTGCACCTGTTGTGGCCCGAGATCAGCGCGTTCCACACGACGGGCGTGTCGCGCCCGCGCTCGCCCACTAGCGAGCGCGCCGCCGCGCCGTCGCCCCCGGCCGCGTACGCGGCGACCAGCGAGCTCGCCACGTGGGCGTTGCGGTCCCTCCCGAGCCTGACCACGTGCGCGTGGACGGCGCGCGCCGGCGCCGCAGAGCCGGAGCCGCCCGCCGCGCGCGCCACCGCCTTGAGCAGGGCCGGGAACGTGTAGGCGTCGGGCCTGGCCCCGCGCGCCAGCATGCGCGTGTACCCCGCGAGCGCATCATCGTGCGCCGAGCTACGGCCCCGGAGCGGAGTTCCGTCGAGCAGGCGGCGAGCGCGGGGCGGCCCCAGCGGCATACGCGAGAGAATGACCGCGGGGTTGATTGATGGGTTCACCGCGCGGCGGGGGACCTCGCGGGAGAGCGGTGGTGGTGGCCTGGTGGTTGGGGGAGGCGCCGCGGTGGCGCGGGCCTGCGCGAGTAAACGGGAGCGCGGGGGAGAGAGCGTGTGGATCTGGGGGTGGGAGACTGGGAGAGGAGGCGGCCTAGGCCGGTAGGCCCGCAAGGACCACGACGAGGGGAGCCGCAGGGTAGTACACGGGCCGGCACCGCCAGCAGGAGGTGTCTACGGATCGCGTGCCGCGGGTTGGTCGCGGCCTACGCGGGCGGGGCAACGGCGCACCTCCTGTGTTCCATTCCACGCCACGCATTCCCTTTTCAGATGCTTCTCTGCTCGGCTAGACGGCGCGAAAGCAGCTGAAAGAGATACCGCCTGGCCGTCCGATCTCACCATCACTGCTCACTGGTCAGGTCAAAAAGACCAGTGGTTCAGACGCACGCTGCAACAAGCGAAAGAAAAACGCGCTCGCACGCAGACACAGTGACACAGCACGCAGACACAAGCGGGACGGGAGGGGCATGCAACAACCTTTTGGCGGCATGCATGATTGCGTGGTGCCAATATGCAGGTATGCTCGAAAAGGACCCGGTTTGCGGCGGCGCATACCGACGCAGGCACTCATACGGTCATACCGTACGGACGCGCCATACCTTTATACAGGCATATATACGGCCCTTTGGCTCTTCACAGGAGATGCGATCGCGTACCGTATACAGTACGTAGACAGCTACGGCCGCTGTACGCGCGGGAACATGCGCATTAAAGACGCGTTTTGTCGCGAGCGCATTACTGCGTGGCGTGCATGCAGTCTAGCTAGCTTCTCTCGTCGCCGTCGCGTTCGCGTTCCCGTCGCGCGCATGGCATGGAATGGCACGGCACGGCGGCACCACTGACAATCGCGTCTTGCATCTGGTTTGCCCCCCTTGGCTCGCTGTGGTGTGGTGCCACTGCCACGGCATGCCAGTGCACCGCGGATGCGCGCCGCGCGCGTCTCTCGATCAGGCATTCAAGGCTCAGGCGATCTAGAACGAATGCAAGTTGCAAGCCCATGCATGAATGCATGATTAGATGTTTCTTCTCATCACGATCCATGTCGTCTAGGGTGCATGAGAAGCGACTACAGCTACAGTACTGGCATGGCGAGGCAGAGCACGAGCACGAGGACAAGTGACACCTCTGGCTCCGTCGGGGACATGAGGTGATAGTCGTTTTTGTAACACCTTCACGCGAGTCTCCACCGCTATATCAATCTACATATACTGGATGGGCAATTACTTTGCTACGAACAGTACGTAAATCTATACTAGCAAACGCGACGTACGTTGCATATACCTTATTGCGTTGTCGCATGATGGAAATATAAACGAAATTTAATCTAAAATACATATTTACCATTATTAAATAAAAACGTTCAAACCACTTTAATTTAGTTTGGGAGATGCTGCACGGCAGCTATGGCTAATTAAATCATTCCATATGTCTAAAGTTACAAAATAAAAAATTACTATATCTAATAGATCACAAATGCATCAATTAGATCTAGAAAATAAAATTTATACCTAAAACTTTCCTTATGTATTTTATTTTACCAAATTTAAAATTAAATAAATAAATATTTCATCTATTATCTCCCAGGAAGCAATAGGTGATTCTAACCGCCCAATCTAATTAAATGATGAATCATTAGGGGGGACCACAACAAAGCCCATTTAGTTTAGTCTACAACCTGTAGATCTAGCATAGATTTTCGTAGCTACAGTTGTGAAAACGGGCCGTAGATCTATATAGTTTTGTGAAACCTTTGCCTTTGTTAAAAATATACATACTTTTGTTCTATCTATTATATATGTAACTTGTAAAATATATAGGGGTGCGGTAATTTGGCAAAGAATCTAGCTATATTTGTGAAATTCACACTCTATAGGCGTTAAAAATAGTATCTGAGAATGTACACATGCTGTTCACCTTGCAAGGTTGCGGGCATCGAAACCCCTTGCCTGCACCGTTTTATTCTGAGTACAGGTGTGTATATCGCTCAAGAACATGTATGTATATAGTGTACGACTAAAGGTCCACTCGGACCTTGGGCCAGGTGCGGTATGCGGATGAAACAGTAAAGGTACCGTACATGTGCACAGTTGATTCAGCCGCATATATGTCTCTGGATGTACTTCTCTATATATGTACGAGGTCCACACTCCAGGCACCGCACCGCTACACAGACGCACTGATGCACATGGTGCTGCTCTGTGCGTACACTACACAGTGTACAGCTACATTGTACGTACGTTTCACTTTCACCCACCGAATACTTGAATTACACATGCCAATGATACATAGAACACAGGCGTGTTGTCGATTTATGCATACGTTTTTGTATGCGTTAGCATGGTATGATGACTATACCATCCACAGCCATATGCCTATGTACCCACTCCGGTCCAAGTATGTCACCGTCTCTCGCGCTGCAGCACAGCTTTTGTGCTTTGTCGTTGGTCCATATGCACGCACAAACTCTCAACTCTCAAGCATGCAGCTCTCACACGTTGCTAGCTTAGCTAATCTCCGTTGCTCGCCATCGCCAACTACTAATACTACACACACGCACATATACAGCAGCAGCCGAGAGCCTCGAAGAGCTTTGTGCGCGCGCGCGCCCCGCCACCACCACCAGCAGCAGCCGCCGCCGCCATGAAGTCGTCGTCTCAGAGTCAGAGCCCGAAGACCCCATCGCCCCGCGGCGGCATGGAGCAGCGCCGAGCACGCGCGCTCGGCCTCGGAGCCGTGGCTGGTGGCCGCGGCGGCGGCGAGCGCCAGCGACGACTCGTGCTTCAACGACGTGGACAACTTCGCGCGCACCGTGGCGGCCGTCAAGTCCAAGGCCGCGTCGTGCGCTCGCCCGGACATGCTGGCGTCCGTGCTGTCGCACTACGCCGCCAAGTGGCTCCCGGACGTGGCGCTGCCCCTCGCGTCGTCGTCCCCGGCGTCGTCCGTGTCCGGGCGCTTCCTGCCCCCGGAGAGCCCCACGGCCACGTGGCTCAAGAAGCGGCTCCTGCTGGAGTCCCTCGTCGCCGCGCTCCCGCCGGACCCGCCAGCGGCGGCGGCCGGCGGCGGCTGCTGCACCGCCGCCGCGGCCGTCGCCGCAACCGACGACGGCATCACGTGCGACTTCCTGCTGAAGCTGCTCCGCGCGGGGAGCATGGTGGGCGCGGACGCGGCGCTGCTGCGGGACCTGGAGGCCCGCGCGGCGCGGCGGCTGGACCAGGCCACGCTGGGCGCCGTGATGATACCGGCGTTCGGGCACGCCGGCCGCGGGCACGCTAACTCGGCGCTGCTCCTCGACGTGCCCCTCGTGCTGCGCCTCGTCCGCGGGTTCCTCAAGGAGGGCGCAGCAGCAGGCGCCAGCAAGGCCAGCGGTGGCGCCGCCATCATCGGCGGCGGCGGCGCGGCGGCCGCCAGGGTGGCCAGGCTCGTGGACGCGTACCTGGCCGAGGCCGCGCTGGAGGCCGGCCTCCGCCCCGCCGAGTTCGAGGAGCTCGCGCGCGCCGTGCCCGCCCACGCGCGCCCCGCCGACGACGCGCTCTACCGTGCCGTCGACACCTACCTGAAGGTGCGCGTGCGCTCCCTTTCCATTCCTGGTTCCTCCTTGTCCTTGATTGCACATTTGCACTCCATGACTCGGTGGCACACCATGCGCGCGTGCGGCGTAACACGCGTGCCTGCCCATTCCTGCTCGCCAAAAAGGCCACGGCCACAACCCACAAACAACATAGCTGCGTCTGCGTGTCAGTGCTAACATTTTTTTTAGACGAGGAAAAATCCTCCGTTCAGGCCTCTGCATCACTCGATGCACGCGGGCACCGTGTCAGTGCTGGGAGGTGTTTGTTTTTTAGTCGCTTCTAAAATTTACGTCACATAGAATGTTTAGATGTTAATAAGGAGCATTAAATATAGATTAATTATAAAACCAATTACATAGATAGAGGCTAATTTGCGAGACGAAATTTTTAAGCATAATTAATCCATCATTAGCATATATTTACTGTAGCACAACGTTGTCAAATCATGGACTAATTAGGTTTAAAAGATTCGTCTCGCAAATTAGTCGCAAGTTGTGCAATTAATTTCGTAATTAGTCTATATTTAATACTCTATGGATATGTTTAAACATTTGATATGACAGAAATTTTAGGAGCTCTATAGAAACCAAACAAACCCTTAGTGCACAGCTACCTGCATTCTTGCATTGCAATCACCGTGAGCTTGTTTAGCTCCTCCCAAACTCCCGACTTTGGCACTATGAAAAAGAAGATTTTCCGTCACATCAAACTTACGGTACATGATAGAATACTAAAAGTAGATGAAATTAAAAACTAATTGCACAATTTTATTGTATTTTGCGAGACGAACATTTTGAGCCTAATTAGTCAATGATTGGACAATTATTACCAAATACAAACAAAATGCTTACATTAACTTACACATCCAAATTTGAAACAAACAAGGCTTATATTTCCATGCCAATTTTACACATCCAAAATTTGACAACTATAATATGAAAATATAACTAATGAAGAATCTAATGATACTTACTTGGTATGATAAATATATATTATATTATATATACCAGATTCCAGTGAGCCCGTGACGAGAGACCGTTGGTTTCAGTTTACTTGGCAACGCCTTTTCGTGCATGGCAAAAGGGCAGGGGGTGGCGAAGCGAAGTCTTGTGTTCTTGAGTTGATGGGTAGTGGGGGTGCCTTGGGTTGCAGACAGTCCCAGGACGGGTTCGAATCTGAGCTGGAGATGCAGATACCAGTAATCAGTAAAAGTAAAGTAAAGCAGTACTGTAAAAGCGATAGGAATCACCGAATCAGGCATGCATATACTGCGCGCTTGAAAACTTGCGAGGCATGTCCATGGTTGTGTTTGACTGTACTGTGATTTGCATTGGACCATGCAATGCTAGCTAGCATTGTAGTAATACCCGTGTCCATTTTTATTCAGCCTGTTTCGTTTCGTAGTAAACGATCGTGTATTATTTACTACTGGTTGGTTTGATGTGAGAGAAAAATACTCTTCCAACTTATAATCCACGATCGTATACGAGTAAGTGAACATGCTGCAATTATTCAATCCGGCCGTAAATGCAATTATTCTGCAATCATAAGTTAGGTCCTGGGCGTAGTGTACCATCAGAGCAAAATCATAACAAAGCCTGCAACACACAGCTATGCTTATTCTATGATTCTATAGGGAAGGGAACAAAACAGACACTAGTTATTTTATTTATCCATGGGTTTGTTTGTGCCTGGCCTGTGAACTTGAATGATAGCGTTTGGTTGCTTGCTTGCACTGTTTGCCAATGCTTGATTTAAAAATCTCTCCCTCCATTTTGACTCTGTTCGCTTGTCTTATGAGTCGAACTATTTTAGTAAATGAATAATATTTTTCTCACAATAAAACAGCAAAAAAAATACTTTTCAATCATGGCTTTTCAGCAAAGCTTAACACGACCGTCGTCTCCGAAACCATTTCTAACATCTGCTGTTGCGCTGCATAGGATGAGTGAGGCCCCGTTTAGTTCCGAAAATTTTTGGCTTTGGGCTACTGTAGCACTTTTGTTTTTATTTGGCAAAAATTATCCAATTATGGACTATTTAGGCTTAAAAGATTCGTCTCACGATTTCTCGGCTAACTGTGTAATTAGTTTTTTTTCGTCTACATTTAGTACTCCATGCATGTGCCGCAAGATTTAATGTGACGGAGAATTTTGAAATTTTTTTGTTTTTGGCTTGGAACTAAACGGGGCCTGACTATATGTAAAAAGGCTGAAACGTCTTATCTACCGGTGCCACTCACTCTAGTGTCCAAAGTCACCACTAGTCGCCGAAGCTTCACGCTTGGTGTACTGACGCTGTTAGTACTCTGTTTAGCGTAGGACAAACGTTTGGAGAGAGATGTCAGTGTCACAGTGTCACGTGAGCTCCATCGGTTGACCAGCAGAGAGACAGAGACCTGTCATTACACATGGGAATAGGCGCTTGACTGCTTGTGGATATGAAAACCCTTCTTGTCCCTTTGGGCTTTGGTGGTGCCCTGTGCGCTAAACTACTCGGCCACATTTCCTTTTGTCCTGCTAGCTGCTATGACCAACCACCAGTGGGGTTACTGTACACCTGCATTTTTCACAGTACGTACCGAAAATGTGTAGAAGCCTTGTTTAGTTTCTAAAAGTGCACAATGTAAAAAGAATATACATGGAGTACTAAATATAGACGAAATCAAAAACTAATTACACAGTTTGTTTTAACTTTGCGAGACGAATCTTTTGAGCCTAATTAATCAATATTTGGACAATAATTCACAAATACAAATGAAATGCTACTTGGAGAATCGTGCACTATGCAAAGTTTGCTGAACTAAACACGCCCGAAAAAACAGCTGATGCTGATGTTAATATTGATTTATTGTAAGAGAAAAATACTATTATTTCGTCGAAACGGAACGGTCTGAGCCATTCGTCTGAAAATGTGTGGACGGAGTTCCCAAGCAAGCAGCAGCGCCTGCAACCTGCTCAGGGATCTCGCAGGCGTGAACAGAAATTCTAGACGTTCGGAGTACCATTGCGGGCTGCTGGATGTGCCAGGCACCTGGGTGCAGTCTAGAACAGTGACAGGATCTTTTCTTAGCCCTTGTTTAGTTCCATGAATTTGGATTTTGGGGCATCAGTGATTTGGCAAATAGTGTTCAAACATCTAATTTCGTTCGTTAATTTCCCACCAAACTATGCAATTAGTTTTTCTTTTCGTTTAAATCGCGCGCGTTCGATGTGGCGAAGTTTTCAGAAGATTTTTGTCCAACTAAACACGGCGTTATGTGCCTTGTTTAAATCGCGTAAAGTTTTGGATGTCACCTAAGGGGTTACGTGATGGTGTTGCATGAAGTATTTGGATGCTAATAAAAAAAATTAACAAAATAATTAATTACAGAATTCATCGGATGAATTTATTAAATCTAATTAATTTATCATTAGTATACGCGTTACTGTAGCAACATATTGTCAAGTCATGGATTAATTGTGTTTAAAAGATTTGTCTCGCAAATTAGTCGTAAACTGTGTAATTAATTTTTTTAGTCTATATTTAATACTATGTACATGTGTCAAACATTCGATGAAATATGAAGTAAATTTTAGAGCAACTAAACACGGCCTTGATTTCGCGGGCCTTAGTATCAGAACACCAGCAGTTTTGAGATCGAAATGCAACCCAAGAAATCTTGGGGAAGCCTGTTCTGTTCCGTTCCTCTGCATTCTGCCTCTGAGACACTGTCATCGGGGGAATATAATGCTGACAACTCTGACATATTCGCATGTCAAATCGATGATACACTGGCCATGAAAAGTCACGTAAAGATTCAGGATCTCTGACATATAATGGTGCACATCGATGCAGGCTGTTGGTTTCGGCTTATACGATCTCATGGATTATAAGGTGTAATAGTATTTTTCTTTCACACCAAACTAGTCAACAGAACTTCTGATCTATAATTAAGATCATTTCAGCCGAAACGAACAGGCTATGATTTGCATTCAGTAGAATTAGGATTGCATTAAGATAATCCAAAAGTTCTGTGACATGCTTCAAAGAAATGGCCACTGATCCTTATTCCTTGGCATGGCTCCATTTCCGACAGGCGCATCCGAACACCGCCAAGGAGGAGCGGAAGTCGCTGTGCCGGCTGATCGACGCGCGCAAGCTCACGGCGGAGACCGCGGCGCACGCCGTCCAGAACGAGCGCATGCCGGTGCGCTCCGTGGTGCAGGTGCTCTTCTCGGAGCACGGCAATCTCAACCGCCTCGCCGAGCTGAGCAACTCCTTCAGCAGCCAGCGGAGCCCCAACCCGGCGCTGGAGCTCCCCGGCCGCTGCCCCTCCAAGCGCGAGGTCCTCGCGCAGCACCAGGAGGTGCGCCGCCTCCGCGAGGACGTCGCCAGGCTCCAGGTTCTTCGTCGTCGTCGTCTTGAGCTTCCGAGTCCGCACGAGGTTCGATTCGGTGCTCCGATCGGCTACACTGACACTGGAACGTACGTACTATACGTTTGCAGGTGCAGTGCAACGCGCTGCAGGCCCAGGTGGACAGGCTAAGCTCGGAGAGGCGGCGACGCGGCGGCGGCAGCGGCGGCTTCTTCAAGTGGAGCGCGTTCTGGTTCGGCGGTGGCATGGGTGCCGATGTTGCGAGGGTGGACAACTCGGAGAGCGACATGGAAAGCCGGAAGCCGCCCAAGGGGAAGAAGAGCAGCACCGCCACGGCGACGCCGAACGCAAAGTGGCGCAAGTCAATGTCATGAGATGGGGATGTTGAAGTGATGGTGATCAATGGTTGTTAATTGTGTTTTCTGCTTTTGCTTGGGGTTATAGTTGTAATTCCTTTGAGTTTGAATGCCCTATTGTGTTACTGTCATCTCGAGTTTCTGTTCATGGTGAAATTATCTGTCCGAACTGTATGACGCAGCCTGAAAGCACCAACTGCTGGACAGGCAGAAGCCACAAAACAGATCAACATGGAAAATCGATGTTCTGAAATGCACACAAATCTCAGACTTCTACAGCTCAGGAACAGGAATAGTTTTATCTTTTCTAACAAAGTAACGAATAAAAAATTGTTGTACACACTAATCTGATCACATCCGAGTGACCATAAAAAATATCACACAACTAACAGGCAAAGCATCAGACAGAAATCTGCAAGCTTTGCTCACTCTCACTTATTCAATTACCGAGACTATAACAAATGGCATCGATTTTGAACACACTGAAGGAAGAATAAATAGGTTCAGATGTATGGTGCAATGACCTATTTGTGTACTGCTTTCTTGATTGCGTGCTTGCATCTGCTGAGGAACTTGCTGCTGCTTGTGGACACTGAATCCTCATAGCCATATCTGCAGTCATCGTCGCCAGCCACCTTAGGCTTCCTGCCCATGCATTCCACACCTCTTCTCATTCCCAGGATCTTGGAGGGTGATGATGGCAGTGACCGGAAACCCCTGGTGCTGTCAGACCTTGGGAACCAAATCTTCTTTTCCTCTCTCTCTTTAATTCCAAAGCTGTTCCTGCCTCTTTCTGCTCCCTGGTCAGAAACAATCTCGTCCTCGACCTCAACGATCTCATCAGAACATTCAGTTATCCCATTCCTGCAGCTCTCTTCGTCAATTCTGCTCTGCATTTGCTGCTCATCTGAAGCATTCTCCTCGTCATTATCGTGTTCATATGAAGAATGGTATACGGCATGATCTTCTTGTTGGTTATCCATGAGCATATGGAGCCACTTATCCACATTTCCTTTGCCAACATGGTTCATGTTTTCATCATCTTCCGGTCTGCTAAAACCTCGGTGGTGAAGTGCTTCACTCTTTTGCAGTAGCATTGACTGATCTGTACCATATCTGGAAGTTCCATACATGCCCGTTGCTCTATAGGGTGGACTTGGAAGTGATGAGGTCCTCGGTACTGAAGCTGTCTCACTGACATGATATTTCTCAGTTTCAGACTCGTAGCACTTCTGCATGGTCGCTTTAGCCTTGTCATCTCTTGATCTTATAGGTGTACCAGTTCCCCTCGATCTCATGGTCTCTTTTCTTTCCCGTCTCCTGCTATGTTGCCGTTCTTTGATCCCCAACTCTTCTAGCTTCTCCCGCACCAGTGTTCTGCCTCTTTCAGTATCTACATTGTTCTGTTCAATGGAAAGAGACCTCCGCGGGAAGTTTATCACCTTCAATGGTTCATTTCTGGCATTGCTGAATGCTTGAGTACGAGTTGAAGTTCCTTCTCCAATTTCTTCTTCACCTAGGGAAATGTATGCATCTGAATTCCTCTGATCTTCCTCAAGGAAAACCCTCAGTTCCTGCTTGAGAGGGCTACTCCTTAATCTTCTTGCTGAAAGATACTTTACACTCTCACTGTGCCTTTCATCGAGCAACCCATCATCAACACGATACCTCTTCCTTTCTGGCTTTATCTGCCTCTCCAAATCATCTCTCTGTTGGTACTTCTTACGTAGCTCGGTTTCAGATGAGTCACACATTGCTCTTTGGGCCTCCAATCTGGCCATGAGAGTGCTGGTTGCAGCTTGGTTCAGCCTGAGTTGTTCCTTGTACACAACGGACCTGCATTTCATAAATCGACAGATAATTAGCGTCACTAAACTTCTGAATAGTAAATGTTAATGCTCTTTTGAAGTTTTAATTAAGCAATCTTGCTTACTGGTGCATGGCATCTCTAATCATCTTCTCCAGCACTGCCTTGTAGTTGGACTGAGCCTCTGCCAAGCGACGGCACTTCTCAACTCGCCGCCGCCTCTTGATTAGGAGGGCCTCCAAGCCCTGGATGGTCACCCGCTCCTCTTCGTTCTTCTGCTTGAGCTCATTGGCCTCGTTCTCCAATTCTGTAAGCTCGGCCTGCTTCTTCTTGGCCTCTTCTCGTTGCCTTAGCGAGTCCCTAGCCATCGCTATCGACAAGTAAGGATTGCTAATGTAGCCATCAGCATCTGGGTTATTGTTCTCCTTTGTGGAATTATTAGGCCCTTGTCCTGCCAAGTTGACATTCTCATCCCTTTCGCCTGTAAATTTCTTAGCAGCTACACAGAGAACCATTAATTAGGACTCCACGGATCAAATGAACACACGCATAACAAAATCAAAGGCATGAAAGAAATTTATACCAATCAAAGGGTAACTAGGCCTGAGCGGTCGGTTCGCATCAAGAGATTTGAGCACCGAGTTGTCAGAACCCCTAGAGGAAACAATTGCAGCAGGGGCGAGTCCTACTTTCGTTTTCATCTCAGAGAAGTGCTGCGGGAACGCGTGCGCCTCCACCACCTGCAGCGAGCTCAGCTCCTCGCTGGCACCATGGGTAAACAAGAACGCGAATGCTCTGTTTCTGCACGGTCAAGAGGACCCAAGAGGTACAGTAAGGCTAGGTTCCCACAGCAGCAAGCGGCCGAACGCTGGGCACCCGGCCTGGAACTAGTCGGTGGCAGCAGCAAGCGTACCTGAAGTCGGAGTTCTTGGAGGCGAAGATGGACAGGAACTGGTTGACAGAGATGCCGAGCTGCAGATCCCACCACGGCATGAGGAACTCTAGCTTGTTCTGCTTCTTCCTGCACACCTGCCACTGCACTATCCGCAGGTTGCTCGGCACCGTCTTCCCTCCCCCTGCAAGCATCCACAGCCATCGACACCGGTCAAGGGGTCAGAAAGAATGTTCGAGGCTGAAAAAAAAAACAGGAAAAAAAAAACTCATCAGATCGCAGCGATTCCTTACTGGCGCAGGGGAACCAGTGATCGATGTCCCAGGCGAGGGGCGAGGCGGAGTCGGCGTGCAGGTAGAGTACGTTCCCGTACGCGTCCACCCGGAACAGCGCCGGATCGAACCCCGCGTTCCTGCATTCAATCGGCGAAGAAATCAATCAGCCGAGCTGACGAAGACTCATCAGATCGAAAAGCGGAAATCAAACCGTGACGCACGCACCCGAGGTGGTCGAGCTGCTTCCAGAGGAGGTTGGCGAAGCCGCGGGGGTTGGCGGTGGGCGGCGCCTCCGCGTCCGTCACAGGGAACATCTCGTTCAGGTCCTTGGCCCGCAGCGCCTGCACCCACCGTAACCACTCGGTCAGCTCAGCTCAGCTCGTCTCCTCTGCGCGCTCGGGTCACGTCACGCAGGGCGATGGTGAGGTGAGGATCGGATCAGGAGACCGCTGAACTCACGCGTACCTCGTGCGGCTGGAGGACGTAGGGGAGGAAGGCGTGCGGCGGGCCGTGGCTGTAGGGCAGGCCAACCGCCCCTCCGCCGCCGCGGCAGAGCCTGGCGTAGGCCTTGGGGTAGCCCAGCGCGTCGTCCACCGTCTTCTCGTCTTCGGTGAACGCTGCTGCCATCTTTGCGTCGCCGCCGCTGCACCGCTGCCGGTGCGCGATGGATGCGCGTACGGATTAGGAGAGAGAGCAGAAAGGGCGTGGGAGTGCGGAGCAATTTAGCAGCTGGATTTGCAAGCGGGCGGGCGGGCGGACGGGGGCGAGGACGAGGAGCGTTTCGCCTCGCGCAACGGTCGGAGGGATAGGGACGGGGACGCCGGGACGGGGAGATGTGAGAGAGCCGTTGGGGGTGTTCAAATTCGTCAGGCGATAGCACGTGGGAGGGAGTGGGGCGTGGCCTCGGGGCGCCTGGGAGGCTGGCCTGTGGGGTCACGCGATCTGGCCCGGAATGATTTGGAAGGCCGTTGGAGCGATCAATGCAGGTGCACAGTGAGCTGCAGTACTGCGCGGGAGTTGTTGGAGGCGGAGATCTTTTGATTTTAATGGCGCCGGTCTGGCTTTTGTCGGGTTAATGACTTTGGGCCTGGCACGGCTTCCGCCTGTAAAATCTACGCTGATCACTGGAGCGATGAGCCGGTTTTTTCTTTCTACCTTTTCTGTCTCACTGTAGCACGGGTACTGTAGCATGCGGGAGATGAAGCTGGAGAAGCCAGAAAAACGAGCTTTTCCGGCTCTGATGAACAGTGCGAGTGACAGTGAGAGAGGGAGAGGAGGAGAGAGGAAAACCGCTTCTCTAAACAGTACGCTATATTATCGGTGTCAGAGAAGCCGGAGCCATGCCAGACGGCCCCTTTCAATGACCCGCGATGGAGTATTCCGGCTTGAGATAACGGCCGCCTCAGGGATCCAGTGAGGCAAAAGAAATCGCTGCAAAGAAATGAAGATGGACTGAGAGATTGCAATTACATAATCCCTCTATTCAAATGGTAACAGTAGCATCGCTGGGAAGAAATGAAGATGGGCGAGATTGCAATTATATAATCCTCTATTTAAATTGTAAGTTATTTTGTTTTTTAGACATAGTTTTTATTATTATGTCTCTGTAGAAATAGTATATACTCCCTTATCTCAGGATAGAAGACGTATTTTTCTAATTTCCTAGGATACAAGGCGCTCCTCTTTAATCCTCTAGCTCACGCGCATGCAGCCATGCAACATTTACTGCACCCGCAGGATTTCTCACCTTACTATTCACGCGTGTGCAAGTTAGGCCTCGTTTAGATTGTAAATTTTTGCAATCTAGACACTGTAGCACGTTTCGTTTGTATTTGACAAACTTTGTCCGATCAGGGACTAACTAGACTCAAAAGATTCGTCTCGTGATTTACAACCAAACTGTGCAATTAGTTACTTTTTTTACCTACATTTAATGCTCCATGTATGCGTCCAAAAATTGATGTGATGAAGAAATAGTGAAAAAACTTGAAACTTTGATACAATCTAAACAAGGCCTTATTGTCTCTCTCTCTGTTGGGGTTTGGTTAGCATGCACTTAGCATTTAGTTGAGCGCTGGTCTCATACGCATGCTACGAGAACCAAAGTATCAATCATGGGAGAGATTAGAAATTAAATCTTTTCTCCGCACATAAGCGAATTGCTCCTTCTATCCTGAGACTGGAAGGAGTATCTATATGCACTGTGCATATAAAAATATATATTTAAAAAATAAAATAACTTATAATTTAGAACAAATGGAGTAGCATGTTAATCAACGTGTGTGAACATCATCGACCATAACTTTATATTGTTCTAGTTAATTGCGAAATGAAATAGAGGACAAATCTATTGGAAATTTTAGACAAACCGCCGCATATTTTAAATCCAGAGGCGCATGGAGAATCTGTGATAATTATGTGCATGTGATCTATTCACGACCATGCTAACCATCATATGGACAAAGTAAAGAACAAGAGTAACCGACCCGGAAGCACCGGCTGCGCCGCTCTCTAGTCAGCCTAGTGAAACTAGTTGATGTTAGAATACAATTCCTCGAACGGCGTCGTGTACCTGAGAGCAACAGGAAGTAGCCGGTAAACGAACACAATTGATCGAGCAGTCACGCATGAGCAGCCTGTTCGGCAGGTCGTAAACGATCGTGGATTATTTACTGCTCGACTAATTTGGTGTGAGAGAAAAATACTATTCCACCTTATAATCCATGATTGTATACGAGCAAGCGAACGGGCTGGAGTATGCTTCTCGCAAACTTGATCGTGATGTACTACCCGCCATCGTCTATTTGGTTGGAGTTCCAGTGGAATGCTGGCCAAGAAGCCTGTGCACACGGCTACAAGAAGTGTGGGCACCAGGTCCCGGACGACAGGAATAGCGGCTTGTTTGGTTCGATTTCTCGGCAGGGACAGGTAACGTAGGGATTTTGTTTTGTTTATCTGCACATGTGTATGGGATCACCTTGGAGTAGCATGCGGTGAAGTTACCACCCAATTCTTTCCCTTCTTTTCTTTCGGTCATTTCTACATACACATAGAATGCACACACCCTTCATGGCTGCAGCGATTTTTTTTATTTTTAACATTTTTTAAACTATTCTTAATTCTAACGCTATTTGATTTTTTTTCCTAAAAAATAACACTTTTGGATGCGCCTATTTCCAGGGCGCGACAAAACAACTCTGTCGCGCCATGCACGGCGCGACAGGGGTGCGTACGTGGCAACGTCCCGGCCCGCTGGCCGCTGACGTGACAAGCCTTGCCGCACCACCGATCACGGCACGGCTGTGACGCGCCACCCATCAGGACGCGGCAGAGCGAAATAGAGGCCTGCGGCCCAGTCCCTTTCCTCCCTCTCTGTTTCACTCTGCGCCGCACAGCCCCCGCCGCCGTGCCTCCCCCGCCGGTTCCCTCTCTCCCTTGTCTCCCTCTCTCAGTCCCTCCCTGTCCCCACTGCGCCGCTGTCCCTACCCGTCGGCGGCGCGGCCGCCACTTCCTTGTGGCGCGGCCTCCCTCTCTCCCCATCCTCTTCCTCCCCTGCCATCCCTTGTCCTTAACCCTCCTCCAACTTTGAGAGCAGAATTAGTTTCATGAAATGCTTTTGTAGATGGATTGTTGTGTTAGAGTTTTTTACGGAGAAAGTGTTAGGAGAGAAGATGGCATGTTTGAGGATATGGAAGAAGAATTGGAATGGTTTGATGAACCTCCTAGCTTCAGCGATCTTTGTGTCCGTTTGAAGGGAAAGTTTGACGGTGATTTCACACTGAAGGGGAGGTTTGATAGTGGAAAGACTAGGGCACACTACGTGCTGATGCCCTTGCGCCACCATGCTCACTGGTCCCGCTACAATAATGTGGTCATGACTGAGGTGGTGGTGGAGAATGGGTACAGGATGCATGGTCTCTAGGAGGGGCCGTCCTTCGACGGTGATACTCAACAAGAATGTGGGGTTCATATGGAACCAACTATGTGTACTATGGATTTGGATGGTCAATTGATGTAGGAGTTTCATTCAAATCAAGTAGGTTGTATAAGCAATGACTTCGATGTGAACGTATTCGAACGGGAACAGGAGGAGCAGGAGGAGGAGGACATGATCGGTGATGTAGTTAGCAGTGATTCAGACGATTCAGATGATGACCGGGGATGTCGACATGCTATGCCCACACCGGTTGATGCCATACCAGTACCTGTTCATGGTATGCCATTACCAGTACCAACTGAGGTTTTGCCTGCTATCCCTGCTCAAGGTAGACAAGTCACATATTTGTCAGTAGATGATACCCTCTATGATTCATGGGGCAGAATTAGCGAAGCACAATAGTATGTTCCACTACCACCTTACACAGCGATAGAGCTTGAGCAACTAAGGTCGATGAACGTACCTTTCAGGGACGTTCCAAACTATAGGGATGTTAGCATGATGGATATGACAGTTTATGACACTGGTCTCCAAATGTGTAGGAAATCATTGTACGACCATGAGAAAGAAATCCTTAGTAAGGGAATGATATTCAATACAATGTTAGAGATGAAGCTCTTCCTTCAGGACTATGCTGTGTATCACCATAGGTCGTATAATGTCACTCATTCGGACCAAGAGTTGAGGTACCACGTGATATGCAAAAACGGTTGTATGTGAAGGTTAAATGCACGAAAGAGACAGAGTGATGGCAAGTGGAGGATAAGTAAAGTGGTCGAACCCCACACTTGCCTATCAAATAGGGGGAAGGAAAATCATCAGCAGCTCACTGCACGTTACCTTGCCCGTCGTATATTGGGGCTCGTTGATGACAATAACGACATTTCGGTGTCTTCGTTACAACAGTCAATATCTGGATTCGTTAAGTATGATGTGAAGTACGGAAAGGCTTGGCGTGCTAAGCAAATTGCCCTGGACGATTCGTTGGGGTAGTTGGGAGGAAGCGTACAACAGGGTGACCCGTATATTAAGTGTAATGCATTACTACAACCCTGGCTTGAAATTGTTTGTGGACACCGGAGGGATGTATTTTCGGGACCCATTGAGGCATGTCCTACATCGTGTGTTTTGGTTGTTCGCGCAAACGAAACATGCATTCCAGTTTTGTCGGCCAGTCATACTTGTTGATGGCACTTTCCTGACCGGAAAGTACAGGGGCACCTTGATGATGGCTGCTGCTGTTGATCCGAAGGACCAGATAGTACCCATGGCTTTTGCTTTGGCAAGGGGAGGGAATAATGAATCGTGGTCATGGTTCATGCGGCTTCTACATGTACAAGTGCTTGGCCCATCTCGCACTGTATGTTTGATCTCGGATCATCACCCAGGGCTTCTTAATGCTATAGCTGAGCAAATAGATGGGTTCCCGCCTCTAGTGCACAGATGGTGCATGAGACACTTTGCCGCTAATTTCTGGCAGCGTCAGAGGAATAAGGAGGTATGTGACAAGGTAAAGGCTCTATGTTGTTTACGTACAGAGCACCAGTTCAAGGAGACAAAGAGAGAACTAGACAAGATGCTAAATGAAGCGGGCAAGGGCTGGTTAGAGGCACAGATGGAACAGAAGGCTAAGTGGGCGTTAGAATATGACGAGGGGGTTTCAGGTATGGCATCATGACCACTAACTCCT